AAACCTTATTCTTAAATACCTATATTTTCCTTGCTTGTTACAGGTCAGCGACATAAAACCACAAGTATAGGGAGAGGAGAAGGGGGGGGGGTTCATACTACTTGAAACCTTATTCTTACATACCTATATTTTCCTTGCTTGTTACAGGTCAGCAACATAAAAGAACAAGTATGGGTATAGGAGAGTGGGGTGGGATTATATCTGTTTGTTTCATTCTTTATTAAACGAGTAGAAATACCTTAGATGTAATAACACTTTTTTAATAAAATTCTGCATAAGTTTTGTTTATTTAGGACAGGATGTGCTCAGCGTACATAGATGCGCGTACAACAGCTGATCCTAATTGCACCTTCCCAAACTGTAAATATTCTCACGATGTCAAAACTTATCTAGAAAACAAGGAACCTGATGTAGGTGAGTCAGTAACATTAGTGATGTTGTCTGTTTGTGTGATGCATTTTTATTTATCTGTAAAGGTATTAATATTTTTCTTACAATTCTGGTTTCTGGAAGAAGAACAAGAAGATTTAAACCGGACTGTAAATTAATTGTCACTTATCAGCCATTTAAATAACTTAGTGTTGGTAATCCTAATGGAGGAAAGATATTTTTTAAAGAAAAAATTGTTTTAGATGCTGAATGCTTTGTTTTCAAGACTCTTGGCCATTGTCCCCGCGGCATTACTTGCAGGTATGTAAAATGAATAGACATGAGTAAAAGGATGGATTGTTTATCTGGATTTGCTGAACAATAAAAAGAATCTGTTGCAATGATAAAACTGAAACTCAAAACTTCAAAATTATCAGTTTCTAAGGGTTATCTAATATCTATATATACTTTGCTTGTTTGTCTGTATCCAAAAAACGTAAAAACGGCTGAACTGATTGGGCGCAAATTTTGTGTGGGACCTCACATGACCCCAGGGAAGGTTTTACTTGATTCATGCTCAAAATTACACAGTTTTGTAACCAAAAGTTTTTGGATTTTCCTAAAATTTTTAAAATGCGCGAAAAATATTATTAAATCCACGAATTTATTTTTGTTATTGTTTTAAATCGTACAAAGAGAAGATTCTCACAGATAGATCCGCAATTAAAAGTTGAAATAGAATAGAAGTACGCCCCAAAAGATCGACTAGTAAAATATATTTTAAAGATAGAGCCTTTGAAAAAACTTATGGTTTTGAGCTTCCAAATTTTTTTATTAATCACCTGTTCTGCAACTTCCCTTGGATTCTCCCGTACTAAAATTGTTATCATGCTAATGTTAATATTCTAATATTAAAATATTGCTTCGTGTTTAGATTTGCGAGTGGTCATCTTGATGAAAACTACAGAAATCTAATTAATACTGATATTTACACAGGCATTCATAGTTCTTACACATCATCAACCAGTTTATTGTTTTCCTTTATATCCTTAAGTGGAGTGGTAGCAAAAAATTTAAGGGGGTGTAGGCTGATATCGATCAATATCAAATTCAATTTGATATCAGCCTATACCCTCTTTCAATTTTTGCGAACAGTCCCTTGATTAATTTGTTGAGTTTTCTTTTGCAGTTTACATCTGGTCAAAAATAAAAAAAGACAAAAATTCTGCAAAGATTTATCACTTCGGGATAAAAAGTTTATACATTTTTAAGGATCTATTTATGCAACAGGAGTTCCACAGGAGAGAAACCAATTAAATAAAGGAGTTCAAATTAGATTAAGGTAATTTATAACTCTGTTGATTTCGGACATGTTATTCATCAATATTTGTTTCACTCGATAACCTTTTAAATGTTCATAGGAAAAGTGAAAGTTAATTTATGTTGTCTGTGTGTGGAAGGGGGGGGGGTATAGGCATATTTCCTTGATTACTTAATGCAGTCACGCAAAGAGAGCCACTGCGTGGCCCTGTTGCGGATCATGGGTTTTTCAGGTACTTAAATCTCCTTACTGCTCTCCATACTCCTTACACTTTTAAACACACTGAAATCAAGCACAAATGTACCTCATATTTGTTTTTCAGTTGACTAAGTTTCTCTAAAAATCATAATTCTAAAAGAATATCATTTCATATTTTGGAAATCTTGCACCATAAAAATGACTACGTTCATTGGTTCTGGAGGGTTTATGTCTAAGGTTAAGTGAGTTAGAGGACAGCCTTGTTTCAAGTCCTTGGGTTTCAGTCCACCTTACCAATGGTTTTCGGCACCTAGCCTATTACCATTCAATACTTTCCATGTTTCTTTTTTTCTGTCTGCGCTTCTCCAGACTGGCCATCTTAACCTCTTTTAGTTTCTCGTCATAAGATTCACTTAAAAGGTTTATTTCAGGAAGCATGAATATGATTTCACTATGGCGGACTCGGCTTGTAATCTCAGGAAAAAAATTGTTTTAATTAAAAAAGTCTCAGTTATATTTGAACCCTTTTTAAATACATAGAAATAGATTAAGTGCATCGCATTTTTTCCTATTATGTATTCAATTTTTTTTCTTGTGATATAAATTTAATATTGGAAATCTTTTTAATTTTAACAAATTTGTCTATAGCTTTGAGTTGATGAGACAAAGAGAAGAGAAAGAAAAAATCCAGAATGGAATTAAGGAAGAAGATAAGAGTCAGAATGGAATAAAGGATAATGATGAGAGTCAAAATGGAAATAAGGAAGAAGATAAGAGTCAGAATGGAATAAAGGAAAATGATAAGAGTCATAATGGAATCAAGGAAGAAGATAAGAGTCAGAATGGAATCAAGGAAGAGGATAAGAGCCCGAATGGAATTAAAAATGAAGATACGAGTCAGACTGGACTTGAAGAGAAAAAGAATGAAATGCCTAATAACGGGAATCACATGGACGTTTCTGACGCAAAAGAAATTTCTAATGAGGAAATTGAACCTGTCGAAAATAAGTCTTTAGAACTTAAACCTTCAGAAAAGGTAGCGTTTTTGATCTCATTTAACAAAGAAATAAAAAAGTTTGCTGGAAGGCCAAGAACATTTTTAATGATAATGGCGCTCACAACAACTACTTAATTGTCTTCCTACAAAACAAAATCATGAAAAAATTTAATTTTGGCATCTACTGTTTTTTCTTTATTTGGGGGATTTTTGTTTGAAACCTGGATTGAACCCAAATAAGACCTAGTAAGTTTTTTCATTGACCAGGTTTGAACTAACTCCCCCTTGTACTAGGCAGACCTAAGCCTGGAAACTGATCTTGCTCAACCTGTAGCTAAGAAACCAAGACTCGAAGAGAAAAGTATTGGACCTGTTTCCGACACAGATATGATTCCCTTAAAACCTCAGGTATATTTTAAAAGGGTATGCAAAAAACAGACACCAACATGATTCATTAATCATTCCCTATTTTTTAAATTCATAATTAAATCATGGTTTTTACATCATCCCCATAAACGCCCTTAAATTCAACCACCCTGTACGGCTGACCTGAGCTCAGATTTAATGAATAGAGAAAAATGTTCGCTAGTTCATCTACTTATTTTTAACATTGGGTAGAGAATTTGCTTAATTTATTCCACGAAGTTCAACTACTTCTTACTTACATTTGGTCCCTGGGCACGTATTCTCCAGTCTAGGCTACCATCGACCCCTCTTACTCCAGACGCTTACGTTTCTAATCAGGAGTTAGACCGGTCGGGGTACTTATAAGCTCCTAGTCAGAGATAGGATTCTTAGTAAAATATCAGTTTTATAAGGAAAATTCGATTGAAAATAATTTTTTATCTGTTAAACTTTAAATGAAATTAAACCCTATTTTTGCTTTAAGGAAAAGAAGAAATTAGATTGGGAGGATAAACTTTATTTGGCTCCTTTAACTACAGTTGGAAACCTGCCTTTCAGGTTTATAACATACTTTTCATCGTGGGGGGGGAGGGGTCAATTACGAATAAATGTCCAAACGGCAGAACCGATTGAACCCATTTTTTTGTGGCAACATACATTACCCCACTTAAAATTATAAAATGTTGCTAGGCAAACAATCTAACGGTAACAAATGTTAAAAATGCACTAATTTTAACAGACAAATTTGCGAAAATTAGTTTTTGGAGAATGTAGAAAAATGGTGACTTGAAATGCAATTGCTTAAGTTAAAATTTTTATTAAAGAAGGGGGGCGTGGAGTGCCGGATAGTATCTTTATAATAAAGCTCCTTGCTCATAAAAATATATTTTTATATATGTATATTTGAATGCATTATATATATGGCTAAACGTTGACTGAATTAGCGGAAATTCTTTATCCGAGGGGTAAAAAAGGTTTTCAAATTAAATTTCACGGACAACGCCGTGCACTTCAACTAGTAGTTACCTTAAATATTATTTCAGCTTTTTGTTAGAAAATATTTCCAAAAATTAAAGTCGGGTAAAAATAAAATTCTTAAATCTTCGAAATTATTTTGAGAAAACCGACCAATTGCTGCCGTGACAATTCTACGATTTCTTAAATTTTATAATCATAGAAAGGCTACATTTTCTTGAATATGATTTTTCAGGCGCTTGTGTAAAAGACTTGGAGCTGATATCACGTGTAGTGAGATGGCTTTAGGACTTCCCTTACTTCAGGTCAACAATGAAGCTTAACAATATTTAAAAAGTGTTATGTCTGATTCCTAAGAGTACCTTTAAACCTTAGTCTCATTAAGCATGACTGAACAATTTTACTTCATTTTTAAGTTGAACCAACCATATTTGAGCTGTGGCTCAAATTCTTAAAATTGGGCCTCAGTTGTAAGAAAAATGTGAAGCTTCTTTAACGTACGTATTAAGGTGCATTGTGCATTTGCTCACATTCACAATTGCGAAATGTTTCAAATATTGTACATTTTCATGCCAAATTCACTAATTTCCACATAAATAATTAGTAATCCTAAAAAATGAATTGGAAGATATTACATATATTAATCACAAGCTATAGTTATATAGTTATATATATAGTTATATTTTGTTTTCAGGGACATCCTCCAGAGTGGGCCTTGGTTCAGAGACATCAATCTGAGGATTTCTTTGGTGTACAGGTTCCTTTTAACCATTAGGAATTACAGAATATATTAGATGTTTTTACTGGTTCCAATTGTTGGTTGGGTATAATATTATCATGTTTGTTTGAGTCAGTGCTTAGAATCCATTTCATTCTGATGCAGATCCGGATCCTGGATCAACCCTGAAAAAAATGGATCCGGTTCCCTGTACATTTCTTCAGGATTAAGTGATTTTTAACATTTGAAAATTTTCAAAAAAAAAAGTCTTTTTCCGAATTTTTTTGCTTAGTGAAAATTTGTAAATTTTTGTAATTTGTTACCAATTTTAGTTTTTGTTTAAAGAGCAACAATTTTTGTTTTGAATGATATTTTGCCAATTAGATCCGGATCGGTAGATCCGAAAAAATATGCGAATCCGGATCGAGGAAGCCAAAACGTTACGGATCTACTAAGCACTGGTTGGAGTATACAGATTTATTTTGTATTGATTGATTTATGGATTAATTGATATAAAATTGGTTTTCTAATCTACTGTTTGATTGATCGATAGTATTCTATAAACATCAGATTTGAGTAGCTAAAACAATTTCAGTACATTCGGTCCAGCAGTGTGGCCAGAGCTGAAAACTTTAGAATGGGATATCCTTAATCCTGTTCGGAAAATTAATCTGGAGATTAAAAATGAGAGGAGAACAAGCAATATTTAATCTCGAGATTAAGAAAAAGAGTGGATTAAGCCTTAATCCCGATATCCATCATTCTAAAGTTTTCAGCTCAGCTATAGCTATTAGCTAACATAAGCAAAGAGCTATTATATAGCTATTAGCTATATGAGCAAAGAGCTTTATTATATAGATTTTTAAATTGATTGATTGATCTGTGTAGGTTTGCGGTTGTAGTCCCCCGCAGATGAGCCGGGTTGCTCAGCTGCTGGAAGAGCAGGTGGATTGCGACTTCGTCGACATCAACATGGGGTGCCCGATAGATCTCATATATAAGAAGGGAATGGGCAGTGGACTTATGATTAGGTTGGGAACTTTCACAAAAATGTAATTTTCCAGACCTTAAAATAAAAGCGTAAAAAGTGCCCCTCCGTGCAAAGATGCTAATGCTCAATTCACAATGGTGGCAACAAATACAAAATGATTGGCGAGGGTAGACTTTTATTTAATCAAAAGCGCAACATTCTATCTTGGCCAATATTGCTGGGTGTCAATAAAAAAACTCATTTTCATTGCAAAACTTGTTATTAACAGTTAAGTCTGTTTTGTTATTAGGAAACGACCATTGGAGATAATTTCACGAACAATGGCTGGCTTAATGTCTCGACCATTAACAATTAAGATGAGAACTGGTGTTTTTAAGGTAAGAATCAGGGGTCCATATAATTCCATCCCAAATGTTGAATGAATGATATTAAGGGTAGAAATTATTCATGTTGTGGTTGTGAACAATTGAAAGTATGGTGTCAATTTGTAGAAAAAATTCCAGACTGCAGAATGTGAAGTGTATACTGCAACTGTAAGGTAGTTTTTATTTATTCTGTATATCATAATTTATCTAAGATGTTGATAATTGATATTTACATCATTGTAAAACACTAAATAAAGTACACATTTCTAAAGTGAAGTGAACTTACACACCAATCTAGACAAATTTCACAATTACGCAGAAAATGTATTTTAATACCCCTAAATGTACTTTCAATCCCGATCCCATTTGTATCAGAAATGGAATTTTATGGACCCCCTGGTTAGAATCATCAATGCCCAAATATTTTGTTCATTCTGTTGATTCGGAAATTTTTCTTTTATGAAAAGTTCAAAATCACAATATTTGTTTAATGCACTGTTTATGAACCATTTTATTTGACGTGTATTCTGTATCCGTTCTTTTATAAATGAATTTAGATGTGAATCTCGCCCTTTAATTCTTCTTTATAATTTCATTACTAATAGATTATGCAAACATGTTCTCCTTTTTTACATTTTAACTCGATTAATCAATTAAAACTAAACGATGATTCAAAAGTCAACTTTTGACATTTATACTTGGGGATCCGTGGATCCAAATATTTAGATTTATGGGTTGTATTGGGAGCCCACAATTTGTTTTTCTTGTTTAGGACAAGAATATTGCTCATTTACTGTTCCCTAAACTTGAAGAACTAGGAGTCAGTGGTCTCACAATTCATGGCAGGTAGCTGATATTACAGTAAAATATCTTCCTTTGCCTAATCTTCTAATGTTAAAATTGCTTCTTCCAAAAGGTTGGACATTTATGGTGGTCATTTGTTGTGCCTAGGACAAGCTATAAAACCCAGTGCTGCATGAAGGTCATTGATGAGTTACTTTTTAATATCATTGCCCTTTCTTTATCATCACTTATCATCTCTGAACTAAATCTCAGGAGACCAACATTTGTTCTTGATTTAGTTTTACTCTTGATGTAACTTGTAAAGGGTTTCTTGTTTCCATTTTGTGCAATATTTTTATCAAATTTCCTTTTTGCACATCTAATCGCACACTTAAATCTTTCTGGGTTTTCTTTAAAATGTTTTAATGTTCTGCCAAACCTGTGCTCTTGTCATCCATTGTGGTTTGTTATTTTGTCTACGTGGTCTTTTTGGTATGAATTTTTCTGTACCTGCAGCTGTTTGATCCTTGAAGAATTTCCATGACCTGTAGACCATTGTACATCATTTAAGTAGTTAAACAATCCATCTTTATCCCTGTTGCTCCAGTCTATAATCATCTCTTTGGTACTGTTAAACCTTGAGTTAAAAATGGTCTCACTAGAATGATTGAATGATACTAGTGGACAAGTTTCCAATTGGTTCAAGTGTGATTATATTTTCCAACTGATTACTCAAAACTAAATCCAGGGTGTTGCTATGAATGTGTGTTGGAAATCCTATCAGTTTCACAAAGTATTTCTCTTTTGTTGTTTCAAGGAAAATACTACTTTTCTATTAGATGTCTCATGAAGCCAGTCTATTGCTGGAAAGTTGAAATCTCCTATGAATAGTGAATTTGGTCCTGCTCCTACAATAAGTTTACATAATTCATGTGTGTTTTCCTCTGATGCACTTGGGGGTCATATATATATATATCTTCTTCAATTATGTACTTTAAAGGCAAGTACACTATTAAAGGTTTACATAATTCATGTGTGTTTTCCTCTGATGCACTTGGGGGTCTATATACTAAGGTTATCTGAAGGTTATTTTCTTACTATCCTTATATATCTATATATATGCTGCAATTATGTACTGTAGATGCAAGTACACTATTAAAGGTTTTATAAAATCAGGGATTTGTACCGAAGAACAAATCAAATGTCACGAGGTCCATCTATCGCTAGGAGCTAAGTGTCCAAAAACTTCAGATTCACTACTTAATGTTCTCAGTTTTAATTAGAGGAAGATCTGACACTCCTTACAGAACTGTACTGTAAGCAACACAGCTAGAATATGCTTGTTTCACTTCAAGAGTTCACTTAGCATCCATCCATTGTTCATTTTACATTTTAAGCGTGGATTACTTCAGGATATCCACATGGTGAAGTACATAATCAAGATACAAGCATTATTCTCTTCTCGTAATATTATCTGTTCTAGAAGGAATCACGCATATATTAGCCCGGTCGTTATAGTTCCTTTAATTAGACAAAAAACGGGCAAAGTATCTTTATGCGCAGTGATGATCTGAAATTCTACTCAACTCTAATCATGTTATTATTGTTCTCTAGGTCTAAAGAGCAGAGATACACTAGACTAGCAGACTGGGAGTATATAAAGGAGTGTAGAGAGACTGTAAACATCCCCGTTTTTGGAAATGGTGATATCCTTAATTATGAGGTATGATTATTCTTTTTTTTTTGGGGGGGGGGTGCCCATGAAAAAAAATCACACATTTTTTGGAAGCATTTGGGTAAAACCAGCTTAAATACAAAATTTTAGCAGTTTAGAATAACTATTAGGCCAAGCTTAGCACAGAAGTATTCAAATATATTTTCTTTTAATTGAACGCTGTCAAAAAAGTAGCATTTTTTTGCAACAAAAAGCATGCGCGCACTTTTGGCTCAGATCTGTTCAAAACCAATAAATGCATATCTAGTATATATAAATTTGGCTTGTCTGGCTGTTTGTTCGGTATCCAATAAACGTCAAAACGGCTGAACCGATCGGGCCCAAATTTTTTGTGTGACATCACGTGACCACAGGGAAGGTTTATGAATTAAAAAAATTAAAAAATGTGTTATAAAGGTTTTTAATTTTATAAAAAAAATTTTATAAAAAAATTTAAATTCTTGAAAATCCGCGATTTTTTTTTTAAAAATCCGCAAAAAGAACATGTTCACAATTTAAATAGAAGATAAGCGCGAAGCGCCCTAAAAGCCTAGAAAGAAAAGCGCGAAGCGCCTTGAATATCTAGTAATATACATAATTTTGAGTTCGCATGCAAAAAAATTCTTATTTAACAATGTTGTTTAGGATTATTATATGAAGAAGGAAAATTCTGGAGTATCAGGAATCATGTTGGCGAGAGGAGCACTTATTAAACCTTGGCTTTTTACAGAAATTAAGGTTTGTAATGCAAAATATTCATTTTTTTAATTAGCCGAACATGTTGGATGATGTATGAACAACATAGAAGAAAATAGAGATCTAAGAAAGACAAAAATATCAAAATACTTGCAGCTGATTAGGTTTTAAGAAAGGAATCTGTAAAGGACCCCGACATTGACCCCCAGACCGCCGCCAGGTGAGAGGGTCAACGACACAAGATGCCCCCTACCTGTTCCATCATCTTATTGATAGAATTGTGTTAAGATTTAAATTTAAAAAGCAAATATGTATTCAAAATATTTTGATTGTTTAATATTCCAATATTTATTCAAATTTATAAACAATAAATAACGTGTTGCATAGAGCGTCGACCCCTATTTCATCGAATGATGGGTTGTCTGCTAATAATAATAGTAATTCGTGGAATTTAATAAGTTAGCTTTTATATTAGCATGGGTTTATAATTAAATGAATTTGGTTATATTTACAATGGGGGAAATTATCATAAAATTGCTTTGTTTAGTAAAATTAAATGCACGCAGAGTGAGTTTGAGCAGAGTGAGTTTGATAGTATTTATTTATAAGGAAACATATAAAAGTTTGTTTTGCCATGAAAGGTTTCATATGGAATGTATATTCTTACACGCTCCAAATATTAAAGAATGGAAATTATTGCACCAGTTAAAGAAAATTCATTCTTACACGCTCCTTATATAATGAACTTTTGAGCATAGATCATTATTGATATTAACTTAATTATTTTGTATTGATCTACCTTTATTCAGAAATTTTCATTCAAATCTTAACCTAGCTTAGTCCTGACAGAAGATAGAAAATAGACAGAATTAAGTGGCGATGGGGGTAGATTTGCCCCCACCCGGCCCTGCAGCTAAAACTGGTTTTGAAGTACCTCAGCAGTCACCATATCTCGCATAGCTCTAGTTGAAGTAGTACCACAATCAAAAACATTGAATGTTAGTTAATGGGAACAAGTCATTGAGGTATTGGTGTCACAAACTTTATGTGGGGTTTTAGCACTCCATAGAAATGAAAACAAACCATTAAATCTTGATTCATGAATTAGAGGCAAAGATCCTCATTATTTCATTTCATATATAACCTGTTTTCTCTCCTCTTTTTAGAAGATTAGGATCAAATGTCCAGCAAATGATTTCTTCTGTAAATGATTTCACGCTTTTGTTCAGTAGATCAAAAAAAACTCGGGGCACATTCAACATGATAAATCTAAATGAAGCATCAACATAAAAAAAAACAAGCGAATGCATTATAAATTAGTAAAAGAGCAAACTAACTAAGGACACAATCACAACATGCATTATTCACAAATAAAGAAATAATTTTTATTAGTAAAGGGTTTTTAACATTTCCATTGTAACAAAAGAAAATTTCTGAACTAATCACGTGTTTATATTTATAGTTCAGAGTTCAGGTAGAACAGGTGGTGGCACTAGACTATTGTCTGGGTTCACTTTAATAAACATCGAAAGAACTCTTAGTTTAGAATAGAGCTAGTGTTTGTTAGTGATCGTTAAACAAGAATTCAGATATTTAATAAACCTTGAGTGCAAAACCTGGAGCTAAAAGGATATTCTTTTCAATAATTAAAATCTATCCCATAATGGTCTGAAAAATAATTGCCATTCAATGGCCATTTTATATAAAATCTAAGGCTTGACAGTTAAAATTCCTATTCTCAGCTAGAAGTGTTATATATATATAGACATCTCAGATAAAACTCTCAACTTTATAATAAAATGAATATCAGGAGCTCGAGTTCTTACTTCTGAAACACTTTCAAAGTCTTGTATCTTGTGAATCTACCTGAACAATATTCATCTAAAGATCCTCAGATCTTACACATTAATCGACGTTACATTCATTTCTGTCTTTTTGTGGTGATATTTGAAGGGGCCTCGGTCTGGATTTCCACAGAATAAGGGTTGATCTTTTATTTATTGACGTACTTTAATATTTAGGAACGAAGGCACTGGGATATATCTGGCCAGGAAAGACTGGATATTGTCCGTGAGTTTGCTAACTACGGTCTTGAACACTGGGGTTCAGACGACAGAGGACTGGAGAATACGAGAAAGTAAGTTCTCGTTCATTTTTTGTGTATTTTGCATACCAACTGAGGTCTTAACTTGTGCTCCTGGGTTCAAACATTGCTGTTATCTATATATTTGTTTTCACGGTTTTAAGTTAGTAAGCGATTAATTATTTATTTATGAAATATAACAAAACAAATACATACAGAATTAAGTATTTCAGCAGAAAATATTGTTTAAAAAAATTTTCAAGAAATCATTAAAAGTTTGATTAATTATAACCTTCGGTGATAATATCAATACAATGAAGGTTGAAACAAACCAGATTAGAAATAAACGATTGCTCGACCACTTTTCAGTAAACATACATTTAGACTTTCTATTATGTTCCCATCAGCACTAAAACAAAACAATATCAAACATAACAGAATCATTTAAAAAAGAGAATACGTATAAATTTTTTTTAATTAAAAGTTTACAAATAAACAATGAGAGTTAGTTAATAACTTATCTTTGTTTAAATGTTAAATGTTTCTGCTGCTTAAATCTTGGTAAAAATCAAAACTAAAATAGAAAGTAGTCTTCATTGTAATAATATATACGACAACGACTGTAGTTTAACAAAATATGTAGGTTTCTGCTGGAATGGTTAAGCTTTGCATACCGATATGTTCCTTACGGAATCCTCAAATGCCCCCCACAGGTGATTTAATCAAACTGAAGAATTAAGTATTATTAGATGAATTAAACCAGTGTTTATAATTTATTTTATCTTGATGTGGATCCGGATCCTGGATCCGCCCTTATTGAATGGATCTGGATACAGATCCAGGTCATAAATGCGATTTAATGATTTTTAGAAGAAAATACGAGTTTTCTTTTTTTCGCTCTATTTTAGGTTAAAAACTCTACGAACCAAGGAATTAGCAATTTAGTTTTCTATAGTTCAGATTTAGGGACCCGGATCCGAATCTGAATCAAGGAAGCCATAATGTTGCGGATCTTTGATTCAACGAATTTGGAATAAAAGTAATTGATCAATTTAAATACAAAAAACGTTAACAGTCTTAAAGAGTGGTTGATCTTTTTTTCTTAATGTTTATTTTCCAGCTTTGACTTGATTGCATTGAAATGGCTTATTTTTATGATGGTAAATGGCTTGATTTGTTTGATTAAGTAATATATTTATAAGATAAACAGATTTGAACTGAGAAATTGAAAATTAAAGGATTCGATATTAGCTTATTAATCAATAATCTGATTGGCCAATTGGGCGAGGGATCGACTAATCTCGATTGTTTGGTTGGTTGGTTAATTATTTGATTGATTGATTGTTCAATATCTGTATGTATTGATTAATTGATTGATTTTCCATCTAGAGAATAAATGAACGACTGCCTGTCTATCGGGGCAGGAATGAGCTGGAAACCTTGCTGTCCTCACCTAATGCTCAGGAAACCAACATAGATACTTGAACATTTCGGGATTTCAGGGGTGTATAGTATATCTTACATAATTACCCTGTCCTCCTGGGGAAACAATTAAAATTTTGAAAAAAGTAACTTTTTCAATTTTTTTGTTACATTTACCCCGGAATACATTTATTTTCCCTTAAAAATCATTATTTTCCATTATAAAACCATAAATAAAAGCAGGAAAGGAGGGGCGTTGACAAATTATTTTTCGAAAAAAATATGCACATTGCACCCTTGTAGGAAGTTAGTACGTAACCAGTGTTAAGGATCCATTTTGTTTTAATGCCGATCCGGATCCTGGATCCGCTGTGGAAAATAATGGATCCGGATCCATGTCTTTCTAAAAGATTTACTGAATAACAAAGCAGGATTTTCCGTTTTGTTGATTATTTGTATTGCTTATTTTTATACTCAAACTTGATGAATTATTTGGAAATCAGGAAATTTTTATCATCTCTTTTTTTTTATTAGTTGAGATTTTGGGTTTTTTGAGAGTAAAAAAGTTTTTTTAGTTTGGTTGATGTTTTGCCTTTTGGACCCGGATCCGTGGATCCGCTTTTTTTTGCGGATACGGATCCGGATCCAGGAAGCCAAAATCTTGCGGATCAAATGGATCCGGATCCTAAGAACCTGAACAATTGTTGGTTGTCAACGATATTTCAAGAAACCTAAAAATGAAAGGGAATGTTTGGCTAGATATGGTTGTTAAACTGAGCCGCGGCACTCTCATCTCAACTATCATGTCTAGGCAGACAACCTTCCTTATTGTAAAATATTTATAATTTTCCCCTAGGCAGGTTGTTCCGCGCGGCACTCTCATTTCAACAAACATGTCTAGGCAGACAACCTTCCTTATTGTAAAAACCTTCTTCTAATCCAATTTTAACATATATTTACCGTTGTTGGTTACCAGGATTGGTTGAAGATTACAGAAATGTTCCTGGGAAAGGTCAAGGATGGTTTCGAGTTTGTGCCAAGACACAAGGCTAATTCATATTCCTAACTATGCCAAGACTCAAGGCCAATTCATATTCCTATCTATGGCGAGACTCAAGGCCAATTCATATTCCTAACTATGGCGAGACTCAAGGCCAATTCATATTCCTAACTATGGCGAGACTCAAGGCCAATTCATAATCCTAACTATGGCGAAAACTAAAGGCCAATTCATATTCCTAACTATGGCGAGACTCAAGGCCAATTCAAATGCCTAACTATGGCGAGACTCAAGGCCAATTCAAATGCCTAACTATGGCGAGACTCAAGGCCCATCATCCTAACTATGTAATTATTTTGTTTCAGATAAAATGACTGAGGTTGAGGAGAAGAGTTGGGAGCTCAGCTTATATGAGTCTTTGAGGACACCGCAGGAGGCCATTACAGAAAATACAGGTTTAAATAATAAACAGGGTGCATGTTTTATTCAAAATCATTAACTCCTCACCTCTCTTTTGGAAAATAATGTTTCCCCCAGGTATGTGTTTTTCATAGGAATCTATTCCCTGAATTGGGGAAAATCAATGATTTATAAGGGGAAAAAATTAAATTTTCGGGTAAAAAGTATCGCAAAAAAAAATAAAATGCTCGCATATTTATGGTAAATTCATTGTTCCTGGGTAATGTTCATGATGAATAGTTGAAAAAATATGTTCAGAGATAGCCGTGAAGTTATATAAATATGTTCAGAGATCGCCGTTAGTCCGAAATCTCTTCAGAGTGAGCTGACCTGCCCGATTTGCCTTGACATGCTCACGCTTACCATGACAACCAAGGAATGTCTACACAGGTATAGTTTGGAATGTCAAGGACATGATCAGATTTAAATTAAATTGAAAGTTGATATTTATGTAAAACATGTTAACACTTTTTATTTGAAATTAGTTCTTACTAATTTTTTTCATAACAATATTAATATAACTAAAAATATTGATTTTTAACCTTTATTTTCTCATAAGGAAAATAGATTGAAAAAAGGTTAATTTAGTTTTTTCATATTTTATTAAATTTTTGTTTTCTAGATTTTGTTCTGATTGTATCATTACAGCTCTCAGATCTGGAAACAAGGAAATCCATTAATCTGAAAAATTTGTCTACTAATTTTAAATTTATTATTATTCAATTTTTACATGAAAAATTGAACATCAATTGAATATTTTTCTATTATTATTTGATACTGTATAACCAACTTTTATTTACTCTTCTTTTTTCTTAAACTTAATAATTTTCCTCTTTTTTTGTGTAAAGTTAAAAAAATGGAGCTGGGTAATGTTTTATCAACAAAATATAATTTTATATAGCAATTCCGATCCGGTTGTGTTGAAAAGTGTCAAATTATCGAATTTACTATTTAATATCAACTAATATTGATGGTTTAGGAATGTCCTACTTGTCGTAAGAAATTAGTTTCAAAACGATCGCTCAGATATGATCCTAACTTTGATAATCTTGTGGCTAACATTTTTCCGGACAGGTAAATAACACGGACAAATAAAATACCCCTTCTTGACTACAAAGAACAATAATAACATTTTTGGCGTTTTTACTGGAATTTACGATATTTAAAGCTCTAATCACTCTTTTGTCTCCTAAAGGCAAGTTATTTTTATTCTTTTAATAAAAAATTCTTTTTGATACTTCTAAGTTCTTTTATATTCCTCAAAAAATCATTAATTTCCCCCAATTTAGCGCACAGAAAACCCTAAAAACTCTTACTTTACTTCGGGTGGGTGGGGGGTGGGGATTCAAAAGGGTTGAATATTATTTCCAGAATATTTTCACTCATGTTAAAATTTTCAACAACAAAAAAACAAGCATTTCTCTCGATAATCGTCATTCTGCATTTAGAGAGGAGTATGAAGAAGAACAGCAGAAAGCGCTCGCTATAGCTAGCAAGAAACACAGCGCGCTTCTTATGAGTGGAATAAGTAAGTATTGAAATATATTTTTAACCTTTAAGAATGTTATGAATTGAAAATCATAAGGTGCCTACTGTATACATACAATTTATAATAATTTATCCTTTGTGAGTTTTATTCCATAATTCCGCTTATTTTTCAGAATTAAGTGTGTCATAAATTGATTGATTGATTGATTAATTAATTGATTTTTAGGTTCTGCCGCTAAAGCACAAGCCGACCATGTTAAAATGATAAGCAGAAAAAAAAATTCCTCAGGTGAATTTTTCTTTACTGTAACACCCGCTTGCCTCGTTTCAACACTATATGACGAATATAATTTTGGAATTCGATAATATTTCATTAAATGATGATGGATTGGTTTTAACAATAATTATCATAATATTTGTTAATTACTGTGCTTTTTAGACGAGCCGCAAAACACATCCATCCTTCTTAGAGCAACACTAAATTTTGCAGATTTTTTTATACCATTGGTGAATTTACAAAGGTTCTAAGAGTATCATATGTACACTGTACAGGGTGTCTAAATTAACATGGAAATTAAGAGAAGAAATAAAAGTCGTCTTTTTAAAGAATTGGCATTGTGTTACCTAATTTAAATGGTGTAAAATAAAGTAACGTCTGCTTGAGTATATTTTATGTAAACAGTATGCTAAATGGTGTGTCATGTTCTTTAACATTTCTGCAAGATTATGATTACAATGATTATATTTCTAGATATCAATGAATATATTTCTAGATAATGTGGATATATTTCTAGATGATTATGAATATATTTCTAGATAATTATGAATATATTTCTAGATTATGATGAACTACTAGCTAGTCATGCTGCTGTGGGGGATACACCAGACCAAGCTGATTCCCCCGGGGAATCCGATACATTACCATACAGGTAAATATATAAAGGGATTATTCAGTATTCACCTTTTCAGAATTAATAGGAGTAAATAGGTGAAAATAAACAAGTTAAAAAAGCGAAGATCATTATGGTGGTTCTAACGAGTTCCCCAATCAAAATTTGAGGCAAATCGGTCAAGGGGTTCACGAGTTCTTGATGGGACACACAGGAAAACAAACAAACAAACGTTATATTTAAAGATGCAGCACGATTTAAAGGAGAAAAATGTTGAAGACGTATCATAGCGAATAACTTAGCGCCCATACAAATTCAGAAAATTGCAACAAATAACTTAGACCGTAAAAAATAAATTTAATTTCAAACAAATCATTCAGATATTACAACCTATAGTCATCGATTGTCTTTCGCCACATTTGTATTCGGTATGAGACGTCTTTAACAATTTTCTCCTTGTAGACGCAACAGATAGAAGTAAGAATAGTAGCGATCATAAGCGCTTTTTTATCACATTAAGCCTATACCCCCTTTCATTTTCGCGAACACTCCCTTTAATTAAATTTTTTTACCACTTTTTTAGCCTTAATTGTGTGTAGAAATTAGCAGATTTTTGTAGAGTTAAATATCGTATGTAAAGCGCTTAATATAGCTTAACTTAAGTTGTATTATAGAGCGTTTTATTGCCCTAAAAAGGTCAATTACCCCCTGAGATTCTTAAATTCTTAAATTTACAGTCATGAATGTGGACAGTATCAGACTAGCTTTTAAAAGATTTTTGATTATTTTTAGACCTAAAAAGAAGAAGAAGGCGGGTGGAGAGAATGGAGAAGGGAGTTCAAATCTTCAACCCAACGAAATAGAAATAATCTTCAGGAACCACCCAACTCTTCCACAAGAAACAGGTATATGGTGACATCATTTGCCTGCAATTATTTGGTGTAAAATCAAGAAATCGACATCTTTGAAATTTACATAGCAAACGTCTTTGTAGAATATAATAATTGCTTTATACGGCTGTGTTCTCCAATTTTAACAGTTTTGGTAACGGACAGAGCATTAAAGGGACTCTCGACTTTATTTCAAGTTAATCTCCATTTGAGGAGGGAAATGTCAGACTCCGACAATGAAGAAATCATTCTAAAATCTTAAACAGAATATATTTTGGTTCACGAAATTGGTAATTTGCCATAACTGTATCATAAATTAAGAATGTGTCAGGGGTTTAAAATGTATATTTTCTTGAAAATCATTCCTCCGCTCGTAGGAAAACTTAATTTTTTTTAAAGGTTTTTTTTCTTAATTGGGGAAAATAAATCTATAGGGGAAATAAATAAATTTTTGAGTAAAAAGGCTAAAAAAGGATGAATTGAATAAACTTGCCTTTTGATATCCAATTTTTCTTCCAGATTTTCTTAAATTCTTTTAAACCTACAGTATACAATATACACCACTAGAATGTTAAGGTAATTAAATTTTGTATTTGCAGATATATATAATTAGACACTTCTCCTTCATGATGCATCACGGTGAAGGTTTAATTTCAAATATATCCGNATATATTAAGACCTGCCTGGAGGCGAGTATCGATCATCTAACTAAATTCATGGAACTCAGATTAAAGGTATTGTACAACACAGTTTTTGATTAACTTTTAGAAAACTTTTTTGTCTCCATTTTTGTAGAAAATAACGGATTTAAGGTAAAAAGGGGAAAAAAAGAGGGAAAAATTGCCTTTCAACGTCCAATTTTTCTTTTTTTCATCTCCATTCTCCATTTATCTATTCGTTTTAATTTTTTGTATTGCCTTTCAGAAGGGGTCTTTTGTTCTTACGTATTTGATTTGATTTAATTAACTTTTAGAAAACTTTTTTTTGTAGAGAATATTTATTGATACATTTGTGAAATATGTCAAAAACGTCATAAGGGGGCCGGGGCCTTTCAAACTTTAAAAACATTGAATCAATAAGTAATAAGGCGTAACTACAGTTGTTTAACCGGTTAACAATTGATTGCATTTCTGATGTTTCGTAGAATATCTTAACGTAACTTTTGTAATTCTTTTCCATGGAATCACTTTCATTAAAATATGTATGTTGGAAAAGATGAAATAAATGAAG